TATTGGCCTTAATATGTTATAGTGGACAAAGGTTAGCTTGTGTTTATGTTAAGCATTATTATGACTTACTTCCTCATAAATCTTGAGTGTAAAAGGAGTAGTTGTTCTTTCTTAAGAGTTTTTTTTGTTTATTTTTACATCATTTTGTAAAAATTGTAATCCCCGCGGATTTTCCATCACCAAGTCACCCGTGTGCCATCACTATAATCCCGTGCACTTCCCTCCCCACCCCCCCGTTTTTGATCCCATTCCCCACTCCACCCCCACAAAATGTCTCTGGTATATGGCTGTTCATTATTCTTATTATTTTCTCGCCTGGTCCATTATACTCCTGCTATGAGCGAAACCATCGGTATTTTTCTTTCTCTTTCTGGCTTATCTCACTAAGCATGATCTTTTCCAGCTGCATCCAAGTTGCTGCAAAAGACATGTATTTCTCTTTTTTGGCTGCTGAGTAATATTCCATTGTATATATGTACCACATCTTTTTAATCCAGTCATCTACTTTTGGGTATTTGGGCTGCTTCCATATTTTTCCAATTGTAAATAAAGCAGCAATAAACATGGGGGTACAGGTATCTTTTTCAATCAGTGTTTTTGTGTCTTTTGGGTAGATACCTAGGAGTGGGATTGCTGGGTCTTAGGGAAGCTCCATGTTTAGCAGTTTGAGGAACCTCCAAACAGTTTTCCATAGTGGTTGTACTAGTTTGTATTCCCACCAGAAGTGCAGGAGAGTTCCTTTTTCTCAACATTTGTTTTTGCTAGTTGTTTGAAGATGTGCCATTCTCACTGGGGTGAGGTGGTATCTCATTGTGGTTTTAATTTGCATCTCCCTGATATAAGGTATATTTTTTAGCTCAGCAAAAGCCTCCAGATATGGAAATAGTGAATTCTCACTCATTGGTGTTTTTCTTGGAGACAAAGATGGTGTTTTTCTTGGTGGAAATGGGGGAGTCTTTAAGGAGAAGGTTGGATTTGATATTAAAGTTCTTTCAACTACAAATTCCAGAATTTTTATATTTCATTTTCTTACCATAAGTTCTTTTTGTTTTCCTGCTTTGGTTAGGCCAATTTTCATATACTGAACAATGACTCTGTGTCTTAGGATTGCAACAAGAGTCACCTACTTATTCAGATACTTCTCAAGCATATTGTAGTATTTTTCTATTTTCTCATTTTTATTATGAAGGTCATGATGTATTAAATAGGTGAGTTATTGAAAGTAATTTATACAAGGCTACTTAGGGAAAAAAAGAAAATATTTCTTTTTTTGTTTCTTTTTCTTTTTCAAATATCGAAGCTTAGTGGTAATAGTGCAGTAAATTCTGTTAAAAAAAAAAAACAAGGAAAAGAAATAATGTTAAACAACCAGTTGTAAAAGATATTTGTACTTGAAATAACTGTAATACAGGAATTGAAGTAGTTATGAGGTGATGAGGTGATCTGATTTGTTTTTATCTCAGGATGTATGACAATCCTGCCTACAATTCTGTTTTTAATTGCAAGAATATTGAAAGACACAGCAATAAAGTCTGCAGATAATCAGGTTGCTCCACCAGTCAGTGCAGCTCTTCAAGGGATTAAAAGTATTGTGACTCTTTCACTGGCCAAAACTGAGGATACTCAAAAACAGTGGACAGCTCTGATCCGTAGCACTCTTGCCTGCATCCTGGAGTATTCCCAAACAGGTAACCTCACTTGTTTTAACCTAATACTTAATTGGATGTGTTTGCCAGAACACTGCTGTACAACATTAAATCAACACAGAGATGTTCCAATCATAACTTTCAGAGGGAAACTTGCCTCTCCTGTCTAGATATTGACTCTAAATGCCGTCTTCTTGGCACTTACTTCTTTGGGAGGTTTCCTCTCCCTAGAAAAGAATAGAAAATTACTTGGAGTAGAACTGATATGTCTTAATATATTTCTATTTGCTTCTGCTGTTTTAGACAGTATTAACTCACCTAATGTGTATTATCTAAAATTGGATTTTTAGAAGACACAGTCAGTATGGAGTAGGGATTCAAGCCATTGGGTATATTATATATGTGTAGTTTTTGTAAGCAAGGCAAGTAGATTTTCCTACTTTACAAGAAAAGTTTTCCATTATGGAAATCATATTTCCTATTGTAAAATCTGAACTTATGCTTTAAAAAGGTGCATAGATATGTATGTAAACACATACTCATTATATGTATATAAATCTTGGTTGTTATAAACCAGTCTTAAATTATTGCAGGTTTTTTTTTTTTTCTTTTAAATATTTATTTATTTATGAATATAAGAGCTGAGTGTAAGCCAGAGGTGCAGGAGGGTAAGAGTTCACCAGAGACAGAGTAAGGAGCAGAACAGGCAGATCTACTGAAGTACATGGCTGAGGTGAGCAAAGAACAGGACAGGAACAGTCTCCTGTTTCCTGGCCAGGAATTGAACTTGTGCTACAGTGGCTGCTGATAGCTTCATAGGGCTAACACTTGACCCGTTGTGCCACCAGGGTGGCCCTTTTTTTT